CCCACTCCAGTTAATGGTTACCCATTCGCATCCCTAATAGGTACTGTGGCAAGGTCCTCGCTCAGGCCTCTTGCCTTGGGACCCTTTCTTTGTCCACAAATCAGCTGGAGACCCTTTCTGGTACAGTCACCCCTGCCTTTTATTGTCAGTGCCAATTTTCCACCACCTTTTCTTTACAGAGCTTTTGTTTTCCATCAGCTAACTCAGCTAGCCTCTCCTGGCTGGGGCATGCACTCAACCACACCCTGGCTCCTCCCTTTCACTTCCCCTCTGGCTGCCTTATCTAGATCTCTGACCAATGAGGCCCACAGCTGCTTCCGTTAGCTCTTCAGGCCTGGGCTTGTTCCGCTGGCTGCAATTGGCCTTTTCAGCCAGGCTATAGTGGCAGAGCTCTGGCTTAGCCAGCAGTCTGTCACAGTACCTTAACAACTGGAGCTGAATTGAGCTTTTTACTGGAGTACGATACCTTGTCCCTTCCTCTAACATCTCTATCTCTGTCAAGAAGCTGTTTGGTAGGTTTCTCAAGTCCTTGTAGAGACCACGAATGGGAAACTTTAGCCCGAGAGAATTCTCGAAAAGAATAGTGGCTTCCAATAGCACTTCAGCGTCTGGTTTGTGTGAAGGGACATATAGTCTAATAAAAAGTACAAAAGCGTCACAGCACCCTAGCATGGAAACATTGCTGACTTTGTCATCTTTCTCTCGTTTATTTATTTATTTATTTATAGTGTATATATGTACACACACGTATGTACACACACTTTCCTATGGGACAACAGAGTGACATCATCATGTTACTCTGTGTCCACAGGAGCCAAGATCCACCTTCTCCCACCCTGGCCCTCCACAGGGCCCATGTGCAGGCTGGGACTGTGTGACCCTGACCCTCCCCTCCACTTCCCAGCGGCGAGGCGGGAAGCCATAGCTGCCTTGGCCCAGGCCTCCCCGGTGACGGGGCAGGTTGGAGACTGAGGCTGGCCTGGGCCCAGCCCCCCTCCCAGATGCCGAGGAGGAGAGACCAGCATGGCCTCATGCCCCTCCCATGCCCCGGCAGCTGGGAGAAGAGTCAAGTGTGTCTTCGGGCCAGTCAGGAGGGGTGGGCCTAGGGCACTGGGACAACTGTGGGGGTGAGCCAGGGCCTGGGTGACCTTGGCCCTGGCCCCTCCTGGTGGCTGGGGAGAGAGCTGGGCCTTACACAGTATCACCCTGTCTCCCCTACCCCTGCAGCTGGAGGGGGCCAAGAGCCAGGCAGGGCAAGTGTTGGCTCCACCTTGGCCTCTCAGGGAGGGGAGGAAGGGCCCATCCTGAGCTCTTCCTGGTGGCGGTGGCTGGGAAGTGGAGGGGTGGGGAGATCTGGGGCAGCCTTGGCCCTGCCCTCCCCCTCCCTTCCTAGTGGCCGGAGGGAGAGAGCCAGGCCAGTTGTGGCCAACCCTTCCTCCCTATCCAGGCCTGTCTCCCCCCCAGCCTAACCCCTCTGCTGCTAGAGAGAGTCAGTCAGCTGGCCCAGCCGGCAGGGGAAGTCTGCAGGCCAGGGGGAAAGAGCCAGGCAGGCCAGGGTGCAAGTCAGGGCTGCCTACCCCCAGAGAGGGTGGTTGGCGAGCATAGTGAGCAGGGGGCACAGCCCCCTAGTATCTTGTAGTTATGAAATAAATCAACTGGAATATAAATATTGTACTTGCGTTTCAGTGTATAGGTTATATGGCTCTATATACAACTTATTGTATGAAATTTTAGTTTGTACTGAGGTTACTAGTTCTTTTTGTGTAGCCTGTTGTGAAACTGGGCAAATATCTAGATGGGTTGATGAAGCTCTTGGAAGACCTCTGTGTCCCTGCAGGGGCACATGTCTCCATGGGTTGAGAACTGCTGGTCTATTGCACCAGTTTGCAAACCTGTGGTCCATTTGGGTTTGATCTATATAGTTTTCTAGGCCAGTGGTGGGCAATATGTGGCCCATGTGCGGCACACAGCTCGTCAAAGTAAGCTGCTGGCAGACAGGTAGTTTACCTTGAGTTGGCAGGTACAGCTGCCTGTAGCTACCTTTGGCCACAGTTCACTGCTCCCGGATGGGAGAGACAGGAAGCTGTGCCTGCAGATGCAAGGTAAACTACCTTGACAAGCTCTGTGCAGCATGCGAGTTGCTGGTTGCACCCCACTGTTTTATTTCAAAAAGCTGAGGGTGCTTGCAAAGGCACTGGGAAATGAGGAATTGGCTCTCTAGCCTTCTGTTCTATGGGAGCTGCTATGTAGGGGGAAGAGAGGAAATGGGAGGCCACTTTGAGGCACTAGAAAAGCATATGGAAGGAAACGAGAAGAGAGGACAAAATGGCTGGGAAGAGAGGTATTTAAATAGGGCAAATGTGCCATATCAATTTTAAAAACCCATTATTCCAAAGGCAGAGACTTACTTTTTAAAATTGGGATAAAATACAACATGCTTTTATAGAAGGTAGATAATGCCAGACCAGGCCTGGGCAAAATCTGGCCCTCCAAGCCACTGGATCCGGCCTGTGGAGACAGTGGGGAGCCCCAGGCAGGTTCCCCTGCTTGTGCCACAGCCCTGCGCACCATGCAGAAACACAGTTGCAGAGCCCCATTTCTGATTTAAAACGGGGGGAGGGAGGGGGGAGGGATTTTAGGAGCTGCATCACCCACAGCACATTCCCATTGGCCTGTTTCTGGCAGAAACCAGCCAATAGGAGCTGCTTGTTAGAATAACAGGCAGCTAAAAAGAATCTCCGCAGCTCTCCTGGGCTCAGTTATTCATGAAGCACATGGCCAGGCAAGCAGGCTGGCTGGCTGGGAAACATTTTAAGCTCGGCAGGCAGGCAGGCTAGTTTGGTAGCTGACAAATAAGTCTCTTGTCCACAGCCTGCTTCTGGCAACCCAGCCCTTTGTGCCCCCTCCCTCCCCACTCCCCCCACACACTCAACATACCTAAACCCTCTGTCCCCTTCTTATACCCATACCCCCTCCCAGATCTGGCACCCCAATCTCCTGCCCCAGATCACAATCCCCTCCTACCCTAGGTCACATCCCAAACCCCAGCACTCCAGTCCCCTGCCCTAGGTCACAACCGACTTCTTTACCCAAACTCTCTCCCAGACTCCAGTCTTCCTCCTGCACCCCAGTCCCTTACCCCAGCTCCCCTCTGCACCCAACCTCGATCCCAAACCCCGCATCTCCTCCGTTAATATGGAAGCGATTTACAAAATCTTGGAGTGGTCCCCCATCAAAAATTATTACCCATCCCTGTGTGCCAGACCAACCTCATCTCCTTCTTTGAGAAGATAACTGATCAGTGGGTTTTGGGTTTGTTTTTTTCTCTCTCAATCTACCTGGATTTCAGTCAGGCATCTGATACAACTCCACATGGGAAATTGTTAGTTTAAATTGGAGAAGATGGGGATTAATATGAGAATTGGAAGATGGATAGGGAGCTGGTTAAAGAGTAGACACCAGCTCATTCTAAAAAGGTGAACTGTTAGGCTGAAGGGAGGTTACAGTGGAGTTCCTCAGGGAATGGTCTTGGGCCCAGTCTTGTATAATACTTAGTACTGACCTTGACACACAAAGTGAGAGTATGGCAATAAAACGTGCAAATGACACTAAGTTGGGAAGTATTGCCAATATGGAGAAGGACCAGAATAAACTACGACCTGTAAACTGGAATAATAGAAATGGGATGATGTGTCAAGTACAAGTGCATGCATTTAGGGAATAAAAAGGAAAAAATTGCTGTAAGTTAGGGAGATATCAGCTGGAAGTGATAGATGAAGAGGCTGACCTGGCTGTTTGGTTGATCACAGGATGATTATGAGCCACCAATGTGACAGTTGTTAGAAAAGGCTAATGCAGTCTTATGATGCTCCTAAGATGCATCAGGTGAGGTATTTCCAATAGAGACAGACAAATGTTAGTAGCATCATACAAGGCACTTGTAAGACCTCATCTGGAATTCTCTGTGCAGTTCTGCTCTCCCATGTTTACAAAAGATAAATCCTAACTGAAACAGGTGCAGGGAAGGGCTACTAGGATGATCCAAGGAATAGAAAACCTACCTTACCAGAGGAGACTCAAAGGCTTGTTTAGCCTAACTGAAAGACGGCTGAAGGGAGATATAATTGCTGCCTATAAATGCACCAGAGAGAGAGAAATATATGGAGGGGGAGGAATTATTCAAGAACCAATGGAAAAACCATCAGAAAAGTGAAGTTCTGGAGCAGCCTCCCAAGGGGAGCAGTGGGGTAAGAAAACCAAACTAATTTCAAGACTGCACTTGTTATGTTTATGGAGGAGATGGGATGATGAGCCACATGCCCATCAGCAGTTGCCAATAGTAAAAATCCCCAGTGGCTGGAGACGGGTCACTAGAGGGGAAGGGTTCTGAGTTGCTACAGAGAATTCTGTTCTAGTTATCTGCCAGGTGGGTCTTGCCCACATATGAGTGTAACTCATGGCTCTATTTGAGTCAGGAAGGAATTTTCCCATAGGCCAGGCTGGCAAAGACGGTGCTGGGTTTTCACCTTTCTGTGCAGCCTGGGATCACTTGCTGGTTTGAACTAGTATGAATGGTGGATTCTCTTAACTTGAAGTCAGCAGACCAGGATGTGAGGACTTCAGTAACTGAGCCAGAAGTTAGGAGTCCATCACAGGAGTGGGTGGGTGAAGTTCTGTGGCCTGCAATCGCAGGAGATCAGACTGGATGATCATAATGGTCCCTTCTGACCTTAAAGTCTGAGTCTAAATACACTAAGTGCTTTGCTAACACTCCAAGGTGCACAATTGCTGGGTTTTGTGTCTGTTATGTAATAGCAAATGTGTTGGGCATGGACTCTGTGATGCTGAGGTTGAGGTTCCTGTGGGTTGGGTTCCTGAGGTTCCCTTAGTTTGACTGTTCTTATGTCTCTGGTCTGGAAAGCACTTGGATTTTTTGTGTGTTACTGGAAAAGCATGGTGAAAATCTGTATTGCGTGTGGTTTTTCCCCCCTTCCCTGCAGAACTGCCACTGCCACCGCCACCTCCTCCAGGAGAGGAAACGGTCATGTCCCCAACCAGTGCTTTCCCCCCACCCCCACCACCATTCGAAGAGCCCTTCCCCTCAGCTCCAGAAGAGGTTTTTCCTTCTCCTCCTCCCTCCATGGCTGACGAGGGGCTTGAGACTGGGGTGCCTGCCTCCCAGGTGAGTATAGGCATGGATGAGCTGGGGTTCGTTTCTTAGGTGAGCCACTCTAGTTCTCTGGGTTGATTCAAACACATGCAGGTACTTGATGGGGCTGTGAGGCAACATCTGCGTGCGCACACCTCAGCCCTGGGCTGGGAGAAGCACTCTTGCTTCAGGCGCCTCCCTGGTGTTCTCAACAGTGCTTTGCTCCTGGGGAAGCCATTACTGTGGCACCCTTTTCTGGGCCTGCATTCCCTATTGCCCACTGTGCACACGCACCATGTGCCTTACCCCTCCCCCAGCTTGCCACAAAATCAGTGTCAGGACAGTGCCGTGGTCCCAGCCCCAGCATTCTGTTGCAGCAGAGGGCAGTGGGGTTTAGAACCTCCGGGGGTGACGGGGGATGCCCCCGCATTGGCAACTGTTCCTGTTGGGGGAGGGGGAGTCGTGTAACACGCCCTATTGCTACTTCCTTCCCTGTTGGCTGGCAACACAGGTGCGTGGGAAGATGAGCAGCATTGATCTGGAGATTGACTCTCTGTCCTCAATGTTGGATGACATGGAGAAGAATGACCCCTTCAAGTCCCGGGTGAGCTGCCCTCCAGGGGGCATTGCACTCCCTGAAGGGTTCATGAGGCGGGGGAGGGGGCGCTGGGCAGGGCCGGTGGGGGGA